GTTAAAGGGTTAATTACTATTATTTATGTAGCAAAAAGGGTTCTACCTGTTAATAAAGTTAAAGTTAAAGTTAATAATTGGATAAAACTGCAGACTGCAAATTTCCATGCGAAATAAGACATTTATTCGCGTCCAATTTTCTCGTAATTGGATAAAATACGCAGTCTAATTATTATTAGGGACGAAGCCATGTGCCTCGCGAACAGATTCGAAGTTCGATATTAAATATAGGAATGATCAGAATAGGCAGTTTTTATAAAAGCATTTTTAATTACGTCTACATAGACGGTTGTCATCGAGAACTGAACATAAGTGAGAACATAAATATGTGAGAAGTTTCTGTAAAAGAGATAGATTAATACAGTTCAGTCTAGTTGATCTTCCTCTTCACAGTTGACTTAGGTATCGTCGTCCAACACAGTTTCTTCAATCCATACATCACTGATATCAACGTTATCACATAGAACGCTACCACGTCGATGGAATAGTAGCGAACGACGTTCATGTGTCTAAACGAAAAAGAATTGTTTTCAACGATCGATCGAACTTACGATGTGAGGAAACTACATTCGGATAAACACCTGGCGGAATTCTTCAAATGTTCGGCCCCTTTGTACTTGGCGACGTGTTCCACCCACCACGTAGCCAATTTCCTCGGACTGATCGGCAGATCTCGTAACAGCTTGCTCCTTTTCTTTGCTGCCATTCGATACGAATTGTTATGGGCCGCAGCTACTTTAAGAATCCCTTCTCGAAGGTTTCCGATCGACATTTCAGCCAAATCCATTACCAAGGCGTAGCCCAATTTCTCTACAAGACAAAATGCTTCAGACACTGCTCTGGTAAAAATTGTATTTGAGAACTTGAGGAATTATCAATTGAAAAAATTTTGATGCTACTCGACATCTCTGAATTTTTTTATAATTTTTCCTATATTATAACTACAAGTATTAACCTAATGTCTATATAATTAACCCTTTGACTACTGTTGGCGCCTATTGGCGTCCGAAACACATTGGCTTTCCGGTACTGTAGGCGCCAATTGGCGTCCGAAACATATTGGCTTCCCGGTACTGTAGGCGCCAATTGGCGTCCAAATCAAATTTCGCTTGTTCCGCCTATTTTAAAATTTTATAATTGGTCTTATGGTAATGTAGAGTAATGTAGAAAGTTATTTAAAAAAAGCTTAAAATTAATGTTCACTTCAAGTAATATTCGTTTAATGTAATAAATTTCAGTATTTTGAATATTTTAATATACTTCCTCAGAAATGCATGTCTAACGAAAAATTTCGCCGTACCCAGTGGACGTCTCGAATGAATTCGTACCGTACCGTACGGCCAGTGCGTGCCAAAGTCTGCCGTAGTCAAAGGGTTAA